AAATACAATGTTACTGTTGTAAGAAGTTTGGCCATTTTGCTAGAGATTGTTGGTCAAACAAGGAAAAGAAATCAGAAGAAGCAAATATAGCCAGAGGCTCTGATGACGAATCTGTGTTGTTGATGGCCTCTGAATCTGATAATGTGGATCTGACAGACTGGTGGTATATGGACACTGGCTGTTCAAATCATCTTACTGGAAACAAGAAATGGCTGGTTGACTTTGACTCTGAAAAGAGAACAAATATCAGATGTGCTGATGACAAATATCTTAATGCAGAAGGTATGGGAAATGTCAGAGTGACTCTGAACAATGGGAAAATAGCATTGATTCAGAATGTGTGGTATGTACCTGGCATCAGAAGCAATCTGGTGAGTGTGGGACAATTAATTGAGAAAGGTTTCTCAGTTACCATGAAGGACAATCTTCTGAAGCTGTATGACTGTAATCAGAAGTTGATTATGGAGTCAGAACAGGGAAGGAATAGAACATTCAAGGTGAATGTCAGAACTGCAGACTCAGAGTGTCTTGGTGCAACAAGTACTGAGAAGGAGAGTGAGCTGTGGCACAGAAGATTTGGTCATTTGAATTTCAGAAGCTTACAACACCTGAATTCAAAGAAATTGGTACATGGAATTCCTGCAATTAAGAAGCCTGAAAAGTCATGCAAAGTTTGCATGGAAGGAAAACAACCAAGATTGCCATTTGCATCAGAAGTTGCTCCAAGAGCAAAACATGCCTTGGGAGTTGTACACTCTGATGTGTGTGGTCCATTTCCAGTAGCATCAATTGGAGGGAATAAATACTTTGTGCTGTTTGTTGATGAATTCACAAGAATGACATGGGTATCCCTTATTAAGTTCAAACACGAGGTGTTTGATGAATTCAAGAAGTTCAGAATGAAGGCTGAGAATCAGAGTGGTCAGAAGTTGAAGATTCTTAGAATTGATGGTGGATGTGAGTATAACTCCAAAGAGTTCCAGAAGTTCTGTGAGGAGAATGGAATTGAGCATGAGGTTACTGCTCCCTATACCCCTCAACACAATGGTCTTGCTGAAAGAAGAAACCGCACTCTGCTTGATATGGTGAGAAGCATGCTAAAGGAGAAGAAGTTTCCTCAGAAGCTCTGGGGAGAAGCTGTTGCCACTGCAACGTATGTACTCAACAGATTTCCTACGAAGAAGTTGAAGGAAATAGTTCCAATACAGAAGTGGACTGGAGATAAGCAAAGTGTTAGTCATCTGAAGGTATTTGGTTCTGTTTGCTATAAACATGTTCCAGAAGCCAGAAGACAGAAGCTGGATGATAGAAGCAAAGTGATGATTCTGATAGGGTACCACAGTACTGGTGCTTACAAGCTCTATTGTCCAGAAACCAATAAAATTGAATTCAGCAGAGATGTGATTGTGAAGGAATCAGAAGTCTGGAATTGGGATAAGTCTCAATCTGATTCTGATGTTAGAACCTCTGAAGAAAGGCCAGAGTTAAGAATTTCTGAAGTTGAAGTAAACCCTGATATTGACTCTGACTCTGATACTGATTCAAACTCTGAAGAAGACTCAGAAGATGAAGGTGACCCAGATGACCCAGACTCTGATGATTCAGACTCTGATGGCAATCCAGATCTTGGTGGCAATTCAGACTCTGGAAATATGCCAGACTCTGAAGATGGTCAATGCTCTGGAGGTCAATCATCTGAAGCTAGAAACTCTGAAGCTCAAGACTCTGAACAAGTTCAAAGACCACAAAGAATCAGAAGCGTTCCCAGAAGATTTGCAGATTTTGACATGCTGCAAGACACTGAAGTAGACTCTGAAGGAGAAGTTATTCAGTGTGCCATGTTAGTAGACTCTGAACCTATAAGTACAGAGGAGGCTCTTAAGCAGAAGCTCTGGCTGAAGGCCATGAAAGAAGAACTTGATGCTATAGAGAGAAACAAGACTTGGAAGCTGACAGAACTTCCAAAAGACAAGAAAGCCATCAGCGTCAGATGGGTTTTCAAGCAGAAGTTAAAGCCAGATGGCTCAATTGGCAAACATAAAGCAAGGTTGGTAGCCAGAGGATTTCTACAAAAACCTGGGCTGGATTACTCTGAAGTGTTTGCACCTGTAGCAAGACATGAAACAATCAGAATGGTGATTGCAATAGCTGCTAACAGGAATTGGCCTCTAATGCATTTAGATGTAAAATCTGCATTTCTGAACGGTCCATTAGAAGAAGAAGTTTACGTGTCACAACCTCCTGGATTTGTGAAAAAGAATCAGGAAGGGATGGTGTACAAATTATACAAAGCTTTATATGGATTGAAACAAGCGCCCAGAGCTTGGAATCAGAAGATTGATTCATTTTTCAAGAAGCAGGGCTTTCAGAAATGTGAGATGGAGTACGGTGTCTATGTTCAGCATACTTCTGAAGGCAATATGACTCTGGTATGTTTATATGTTGATGATATACTGCTGACTGGAAGTTCTGAACAGGAGATAACCAAGTTCAAGAAGGTTCTAATGAATGAATTTGAAATGACTGATCTAGGCAAAATGACATACTTTCTAGGGATGGAGTTCAGATATTCTGAGAAAGGTATCATTTTGCATCAACTCAAGTATGAATTAGAACTTCTGAAGAGATTTGATCTGAAGAATTGTAAGATGGCTGTCACACCTTCTGATACAAATCAGAAACTGGATTCAGACTCTGAAGGAAAGGATGTGGACGCTACAACTTTCAAACAGTTGGTTGGTTCTCTGAGGTATCTGTGCAATACCAGACCTGATATTTGCTACTCAGTTGGGATGGTTCGTAGGTTCATGAGTAAACCTAAGTGGTCCCATTACCAAGCTGCTGTCAAGATTCTGAGGTATATCAAAGGAACTCTGAAGTATGGAGTGTTATTTCCCTCTGGAGGAAATAATGAGTCAGAACTTCTGAGTTATTCAGACTCTGATTGGTGTGGAGACAGAGTTGACAGAAGAAGTACATCTGGGTACTTGTTCAAATTTCTGGGAGGTTCCATTTCTTAGTGTTCCAAGAAGCAACCTGTTGTGGCGTTGTCAACCTGTGAAGCAGAATACATTGCATGTGCTATTACTGCATGCCAAGCTGTGTGGATTCTGAATCTGTTGCAGGATCTGAAGATTAAAGTAGACAAACCTCTGAAGTTGATGATTGACAACAAGTCTGCAATCAATCTTGCCAGAAACCCAGTGTTGCATGGGAGAAGCAAGCATATTGAGACCAATTATCATTTTGTGAGACATCAAGTTCAGAGTGGAGTGTTAGAAGTTGTACACTGCAGCACTCAGAAGTAGTTGGCAGATGTTCTGACGAAAGCTATCAAGACTGATCAATTTCTCAGACTAAGGGATGGAATTGGTGTTACAAGTTTTGATGGAATATGAATTAAGGGATGGTATTAGAATATTAATAGTAATTCATATTTATTTAGTTGTACTATTTTAGCCCCTAAGTTTGTTAGAGGGTATTTTAGTATTTTATCTTATTCTAGTAACTCTAGTTTTAACTTATAAATAGGGTGACAATCATTGTAACTTTTAATCATGTTTTTTTGCCGTCATTCTTAATAGAATATTTCTACCTTTTCATCATTTATTCTACCTTTGCACCAACAATCATAACAAATGCCAATGAATGTTTTATTAGGTTAATACCCTAATCCATTCTTATCCAAGAAAACATTTTTGAATTGATAGAATTAAGTGTTTTGTTTACCTTTAGTGAATTTCTCTGAAGTTTTATACAATTTATCTACTCCATTTTTCAACTAAATACAAGTTTTATATTTGACTAATTCATTTTTCAACAAAACATGCACATGTTTCTTACTCAGGGGAGCAGTGGACCATAATATTTTTTTTTAACCACTTTCTCATTACAGACCTCATGCTTAAAAGTTGTATACCGTTGTATTTTTTGTTAATCACTTTGACCTTACATGCCTCTTGCACATAAAGATTGTGAAGTAATATAAATCTTGTAGCCCCGAGCCATAAAACATAGGTAATGTCATTCAATTCCGAGATACCTCATAAGTTATCTACCATGCTCCCAGATGAAACATAGTTGTACTGGTCATGACTAAGAAAATAGTCTCAAAATTCTACACGTATGTATAGGTTATATATATATATATATATATATATATATATATATATATATATATATATATATATATATATATATATATATATATATATATATATATATATATATATATATATATATATATATATATATTGGCTGGCAACGGGGTAGTGAAGATATATATATCGATTAAAGTTATCCATTTCAAGTGCAAAATATATAAAGAGAAACACATAAAGTAACCTGCATTATAAATTGTGTAGATGAAATTCAAAGGGTCACTTTAATCTTCATATGAGAATTGGGACCTTTTTAAATTCTAATGGCCTGTTTTTAATGCCTTTTCCTATCAGAATATGATTTTTATGGTCCCCTGGCCCAAGTTATATTACTACATTTGTACTCCAAAACAGCATATAAAACAATATATCTCTTAAGAGATAATAATTTATAGAACACATAAATAGATTGATACATCAAATACATAACATGATTTTTACACAATATCTAGGATATTATTAACTAATTAATAATATCTAAATAAAGAATAAAATTATAGCAACCCTTTTTTTAAAAAAGAACTCAACTAACTAGCTAGCTAAAAGTAGATATATATAACAATATACAAGATATACAAATTAATTATGATAATGAACTACAATAATTCTCAACCCAAACAAACAAAAATAAACATCAATTCCTTCACCAACCACCAATATTTCCTAGTATTAGTTAATGGATATAATTGGAATCACACATTCTATATTGATAATATATATAATATAATAATATATAAGCACTTTTTTTTTCTCAAATGGGAGAGGAACCTCCATAACCAAGAAGAGTCCCTTTTTTTTCTAAACCCTAAAAACATTTGCATGATATTATTTTCACATCATTCATGCAAGTGGCTTGGCCTTAAGAGCTTTCCAGCTATGTTCAATATCTTCAGCAATCCTCTTTGCATCAATAGATGAACCAAGTAAGCCACGTTTGGTGAAACCAACAGCATATAATCCCTTTTCACCTTTCCATCCATTTGGGAATGGTTTCCTTGGAAAACCATCTTTCTCACTAAACATGTCACTTCCCTAATCACAATAAATTTCAATTCCAATCAATATATTAACAAAAAAATCATTATATTAAAACTTGAAAACTTTTAAGTTCTTATATTCACTACACTCTCGTTTAGGCATACAGGTCGCCTCCGTTTAAACCCATCTCACATCTTACAAAGCCACGGAAAAAATATGAGACAAACATGCATTATTGATGAGGTTGGCCTAAAACCTTGTCTCATACTATAAAAAATTGAAGATGAGTGAATATGCCGGCCTCGCACCCTAAAGATTAAAAATTGCAAAAATTACTATTAATGTCCGCGTTCGTAAAAAATGATTGGCGGCTAGGCATGCGGACCTTCCATTCTTAAAAAAATTAAAAGTTACAAAAATTATTGTTAATGTCCGCGCACGAAAAAAGTACACGAAGAGAGAAAGACATATATTCGAGGATTCAGATCTAAAATTTTAATTCATCTAAAACATTACAGACAAAACAAATATGTCAAATGAATTGGATTTGTTTTGCCACCCTAAATCTCTTCCTTGCATGCACATCACTATTGATCACTATTGAAATTGGTGAGAAAAGTTAAGGGAAGCACCTTTAACCAAGAGGGTACATTGCTTCTATAACCAGTAGCTAGAATGACTGCATCAAAGTTCTCTACTTTCCCATCAACAAACTCCACAGCATTATGTGCTAGTCGTTTAATTCCCTTGCAAACCTATACATATATTAACAAACATTAGACAAAATTGATTATAAATTATTTTAAATATTATAAAGAGAATGTTACCTTAATTTTGCCAGTTTTGATTTGAGCTACTGTCCCAACATCTAAAACTGGTGTTTTTCCATACAAATTCTTAAGCTCTAAAGGACCAATTTTTGGCCTTTGCATTCCATATTGAGATGTGTCACCAAGTATGAGATATGACATTAGAAGTAAAAATTGATCCACAAAATGTACTGAGAACCATTTAAGTAACCACATGGATAAACCAAATGTTGATTTTCCAAATATTTGTTGTGGCAAGATATGTACCTGCAAAAAGCAAGAAAAAAAAATCAATTAAATTAAAAAGTGCTTTAAGAACCTTTTTAGGAAATTGTAGTAACTAGATTAATTAATTACAATTATATTTTCATTCTTTTAGTTATGACTGACACAATGGTTTTTGCAGAGAAAATATTTGTTTTCATTCTTTAAGTTCATATGATTTATATTATTCTATGATTTTTAGATGCTGACATTTTTTGCGCATGCAAACAGATTCCAATGAAAGGGAGAGAACAAACAATGGCACAAACTCCTTTGGGACTTTTTTTTCTTCCTTTTTTAATCTATCCCTCTCCAATTTCCACTTTTGTCCAAAAAAATAAAAGATTTTATATACGCCTTCTTAATTTAAATAGAAGCATAAATTAATTAAATGTATTTAATTTACATTTAATATTTCTTTTAAAAATAGATGTATAATGTTAAGGTTCATTAAAAAAAATTAATAATAAAAACTATATTATTTTTAAATAAAATATATTAATTTAAAAAATTAATCCTCAATTTGATTAGTATTACAAAAAAAATGTATGAGTGGTCATATAAAATTAGATTAATTTAAAAGAATAAGTACTAACTATCACCTCAAATAAGAACATGAAAATTTTTAAATTAGATGAGTTTTATATATAGCTTAAATCAGTTATTTTATAAATTAAAAAAATGAATTTTTACTTATAATAATGGTAGGAGGAAATACTAATTTTCAAATTAAAATTTTAATCTATTAGATTTTTTAAAATAATTAAGATAAAACAAAGCGAGTTACTTGAAAATCGTGAAAATTGAAAAAACTCAATATAACTATATACAAATAAAAAATTAAAATAATGACAATTAAAAGAAAAATTATTATTAGTTAACTTTAATGCGCACTTAAAAATAGAATTTGATATAAACCTTCTAATTTTTGTCTCTAAACTTTTTGTTGTTATTTCAATTTTTTATAATTTAAATATTGATTGAAGATATTTGAGTGATGAAGGTGTTGAAAATAAAGTAAAAACTCACCGTATCTCTAACAACTAAGGAAGGATGAGCATTATGGTTGGAAAGATCTAAACACACCTCCATGCCTGAATTTCCACACCCCACCACCAAAACATTCTTCCCACAAAACATGCTTCCACTTTTATACAAACTAGTATGCAAAATAGGTCCTTGAAATTGGTCCATCCCTTCAATTGATGGCACAACTTCCTCAGCATTTTCACCACTAGCAACAATCAACCATTGACTAACATACTCAATAACAACACACTTGTTCATTATAATTTCTTGAGTCTTCACTCTCCAAACTCCACAAGCAATATCAAATTCAGCATTCACAACTTGTTTACCAAAAATAGGATTAATATCAAAGTGATTAGCATAGGCTTTTAAGTAAGATAAAAATTGTTGCTTTGTTGGATATGATGGTAACCCTTTTGGAAATGGCATGAGAGGTAATTGACAAAATTGTTTTGGAAGATGAAGCTTTAATCTATCATAGGTTTTGAGTTGCCACATTGAAGCTAAACAATTTGCTCTTTCAAGGATTAAGCTTGGAATTCCTTTTTGTTTAAGACATGCTGCTGCTGCTAATCCTGATGGACCAGCTCCTACTATGATTGGTCCTTGAACCAATATTGAAGTTGCCATTTTGTCCTTCTTTTGATAATCATGTGCCATTTTGCATTCTAGTTCCTTTAAGTAGTTCATGAGCATGGATAGAACAAAAAAATTAAATTTTTTTAAAGATGGAGTAAAGGGTAGGTAGAAATTTTTCAAAAAATTGAAACTTTAGGAGAATTATGTCAAAGTGATGACATGAAAGAAACTCATTGAATTTGAACCTTTTTAAAAGAAAATAAAAAAAGATGATGAGATAATGAAGGGTTTTTTTTTTAGTGAAATTGGGCTATGCTCAATGAAAGGGGAAGAGAGAAGTGAGAGAGTATGGAAGCTACAATACTTAAAGAGAGTGAGAAAGTTGAGGAATAAAGATGTGTTATTCACAAGGGATTTGTACTAGGGTAGTGGCTTTTATATATAGAAAAAGATTCTGAAAAGTGTGAGAGGAACAATTTTATATCTTAAATAAAATTTAATTAAAAAATATTTAAATATAAACTAATAACAAAAAAATATTTACTTTGGAATGTTGGTGGGATTGGATTGATTAGTTTTTGAGAGAAAATATCATTCAATGCAACTCCTATGATTTTGCTTTTTGGTCGATTTGATTTTAAAATATTGCTTATTTGATCTAATTTTTTTATTTGGATTGGTTTTTTTTAATTTTAGTTATAGTTGTATCGAAATTATGAATAGTAGCATTTAAACAACACTCACGTGTCTGTTTGTCTGTTTTTTAAGCGTGCACACGCGTTAAAACATAAACTATATATTTTTATTTAATTTTGTTGTTAATTTAAATTAGCTATGTAATAAATTTTGTGATATAAATTTGTGTATAATAATAACAATTAAATTTGAATCTCTGGATGATAATTTGACCCATCTCCAATGAACAACCACAAAATTATTCACAATAAATAGGATAAAATCATGCAAAAATGAAAACAGACATTAATTTCGATAATTATCCACAAAAATAAATAGGTATGAGTCCGAGTATGACAACTTGAAATCAACCCTGCCCCATACCCTTATAATATATATTTATGTAATTTCATTTATATTTATATATTATCAATATTAAATTATTATGTATTTAATACAAGTGTTCGTTTATTTTAACAATAAATTATTTAAATTTTTTTTAATGTTTTTAAATCTTTAAATTATATAATACTTTCTCTGTTTTTTTTTATAAGTCGTTTTAGACTTTTTACAGATACCAAGAAAGTTATTAACTTTTGCTAATTTTGTAAATATATTATAGGGTATTCCAATATTATCCTTTTTAAAAACACTCAAAATCTCTTGTTTCAAAATATACCAGATTAATCATTATTAAAATTTTTTTTAATGTTTTTAAATCTTTAAATTATATAATACTCCCTCTGTTTTTTTATAAGTCGTTTTAGACTTTTTACATATATCAAGGAAGTTATTAACTTTTGCTAATTTTGTAAATATATTATAGGGTATTCCAATATTATCCTTTTTAAAAACACTCAAAATCTATTGTTTTAAAATATACCAAATTAATCATTATGATTTGTAGATGGAATATCTAGATTGCATTTATTCTAATATATTCCATGAATAAAATATTAAATTAATTAAATTTATACGTGTCTTTTTCTATTCTACACTAATTCTTTATTTTTCTCCCTCCCAAATTTATACGTGTCTTTTTCTATCCTACACTAATTCCTTATTTCTATAGATGGATTTTTGGGATATTCCATTGCCAATTTTTTTAAGGATTTTTTTGTTATGATAGGAAGAAGGATTAAAAAATGCACAATATATAAAACTTGAATTTTGAAAAAATCACAAATTAATATAGAGTTTTATGAGAGGAAGACTTTTTCTATAAAAAATTGGACTAATGCATTGAAAAACAATATTCATAATATCACTCTGCATTGGAATACAAGATTCACTGAATTATGAAAATTATAGAAAAAAGAGATGAATTAGGGATATTTTAGGAAGAAAAAAATTAATCCTACATAGAAATTACAAAACGACTTATATTTTGGCACAATTTTTTTTCCAAAACGACATATAATTAAAAACGGAGGGAGTATTTAATAATTAATTTTTTTTAATAAAAATGCATATAAGAGATACACATATAAGTACTTACATGCTTATAGAATACAAATATAAATGTTAACTTTAGTGCCCAAATAAATATGAACTTGGTTCGATATTTTTTTTAAATTATGGTGATGGGATATATATATTATTTTAATACTGATATGTTTTTCACATATTTAACAATAAAAATCTCTTGAATTTTTTTCTCTCTCTCTCTCCCTTTTTATAACCCTTTTAAATTTATGAGTTCATTAATTATTACTTTTAGAAAATAGGTTTTAAAATTTATGGTATTAATAGTAAGAAAATAGAAGACGCACAAAATAGTTTTACATGGATATCTAATAAACATCTTACATTCTATTAAATCAGCATAAACTTAGTATATGTTATGTAGTATTGTGTTTTATAATTTTCGTTTTTAATTATATAAACCGTACTAATATATAAATTAATATTTTATATTGAAATTATACAATTATGTTAAAGTTTATTTAAATATTTCACCAAATAACAATAAGGATTGGTTATTAAACTGTTATTCTTTCCTTTCTCTTAGAACAAGATTACAAGTATACAAGAATAACAAAATAATCTCTCTCCTTTGAAATTAGGATTTTATCTTCCTATTTTTCCTTATACCAAGATTGAGAAACTAGCATCCTATTTATAATAAAATAGCACACTAACCTAATGGGCTTTTTAACAATTACCCATTACAAGCTAACTTAAACAATTGGGCTTACAACCAAGGCCCAATTCAACATGCTAACAAACCTAGCAATATTGACTAATGCATGTTAGAACAAACTTCGACTACAACACGCATTACTTGCAAACAGGCTTCGACAACACTAGAGTTCGATCCAACATCTCACAAATCTCCACCTTGGACCTAACTCTATAACATCAAGAAACTAGCTTTCTTTATACAGCTTTATTAACTGCATACAGTGGAAAAACTTGCAACTGGACAACGTCTTGGTGATCATATCAGCTGCATTATGATCTGTCAAAACCTTCAGCACTTGGACTTCTCCACGCTCGATTACCCCTCTGATGAAATGCAGCCTCACATCAATGTGCTTGGTTTGCTCATGATATGTTGAATTCTTCGACAGGTGTATTGCACTTTGACTATCACATTTAACAGTGATAACTTGACCTTAAAGTTTTAACTCCTTTGCAAAACCTTCAAGCCACAATGCTTCTTTCACAGCTTCATTTAAGGCAATATACTCCGCTTCAGTGGTTGATAAGGCAACAACCTTCTGAAGTGTTGCTTTCCAACTGATTGTTATCCCAAACATAGTGAACACATATCCAGAGATAGATTTTCTGGAATCCATACAACCTGCATAATCAGAGTCGACATATCCTTCGATTGCTGCTTTACTATCTTCACCTAAGGCTCCACCATAAATTAGGACTCTATTCAGAGACCCATTTATGTACCTTAAAATCTACTTACAACTGACTAACCTGGCTCCAACAGGTTTCTTGATCAGTTCCCAGGTGTTGTTATCATGAAGAGATTTCATCTCATCATCCATGGCCTTCAGCCATTCAGTCTTCTTTCGACTCCTCATAATTTCCTTATAGTCTCTAGGTTCTTCATCTAGAACCTCACTAGCAGAGATTAAGGCGTAAGCTATAAGATCTGCATACCCAAGTCTCTGAGGTGGCTTGATGACTCTCCTTGACCTGTCTCTTGCTAGCAGATAGTCATTATCAGTCTCCTCATCTTCGACAACATCTTCTGCGTCTTCTTCGACTTCATCTAGGTTAAGCAATTTAGCATCAACATGCTCCACCTCAACAGGAATCTCTCCCTGTTCCAACTCTTCGTCAGCATCATCATTTTTCTTGAAAGTCATCTCTGCTTCATTGGAAACTACATCTCGACTGGTGATACACCTCCTGTGACCTGGCTCTAGGCACCATAACCTATAAGCTTTGACTCCTTCAGGGTATCCCATGAACATGCACTTTAGAGCTCTAGGTTCGATCTTGTCTTGCCTAATATGAGCATAGGCCACACAGCCAAATACTCTCAGTCTTTCGAGACTAGGTGGATGTCCCGACCAAACTTCTTCAGGTGTCTTCATTCCCAAGGCAGTTGAGGGACATCTATTTATCAGGTAAGCTGCTGTCGAAATAGCTTCTGCCCAAAACACCTTCTTCAATCCAGCACTAACCAACATGCATCTGACCCTTTCAAGGATTGTTCGATTGAATCTCTCAACTAAGCCATTTTGTTGAGGAGTACCTGCTACAGTCTTATGCCTTGCAATCCCAGACTCAACACAGTAACTGTTGAACGCTTCGTTGCCGAATTCAAGACCATTGTCGGTTCTCAACCTCTTAACCTTTCTGCCAGTTTGAGTTTCGACCAGAATCTTCCAACTTTTGAAATTCTCAAAAGTTTCACCCTTCGTCTTCTGAATGAATATCCATAGCTTTCTGGAATAGTCATCAACGATGGATAGAAAATACCTTGCACCTGAGTGTGAAGGATTCCTTGCAGGCCCCCAAAGATCAGCATGAATGTAATCCAGGGATCCATGTGTTCTTTGCTTGCCTTTGTTAAACTTCGCTCTACAGGGTTTACCAAATACACAAGATTCACAAAATTCCAATTTTTCGACTTTGTCACCTCCTAGTAGGTTCTGCTTCCCTAATTCGACCAGGCCTCTTTCGCTGACATGGCCCAATCTCATGTGCCATAATTCTGTCTTTGACATAAGTTTTGTGGATGCAACATTTGTCGAACCACTTACAACCTCAGCCTCAAGGGTATACAGGCCTTGTTTCTTCACGCCTCTCAAGACTTCCTTCGACCCCTTCATGACTCTTAGGATACTTTTCTCTCCTTGAAAAACGTATCCTTTTCTGTCGAATTCACCAAGAGAAATCAAATTTCTCTTCAAGTCAGGTATGTATCTGACTTCAGTCAATAACCTTATTGACTCATCATGGAGCTTGAATCT